TTTTACGAGTGTTTCGCGTGAATTGATTCCTTGTTTAGCGTAAGTGTTGTCCGAAAGTGCATTCATTTCCGCGATATAGGCGTCGATAAAGGCATACATTTGTGGATCAGTCGGGAAATTATTGGCACCAAAATCCGTTCCCGTTTGACACCAATTGATGAAATAGTCGCCGATATCTAAACCCCTATACATATAACTACTCCAATCAAAGTCAATGATAAAGACATCCAAATTGTGGTCATTATCTCCATTGCGGACGAGTATATTGCGGCGGTTGAGGTCGTTGTGGGAAAACACTTCCGGACTCTTGAGGTGGACGACGGCTTTCCTAACCCACGCCATCTCAGCCACGAAATCCATTTCCATAAGTGTTTCACACTTTTGTTTCTCTATCTCTTTACGTATGACTCCCTGTCTGTAGGACTCAATCCGGTGGCTATCAAACCAGTCCTCGAAAACTATTTTCATTGTCTTTTGTGTGCCGTCTCTGGCAATCGGTATGTATTTTGAGTGAATTTTTGCCACCTTTTGGGCCAACAGTTTGACGGCAATAGGGTTGAGGTCGTCGTCGGCATTGAAATAACGACACTTCATATGAAATATATAATAATTATAACACAATATTCTATTCATTATAAATAAATATAATTCTTACATCAATATACTCACTGATGAACCCATTTTCAAACATAGTGTATATTTTTGGCGATATATTAATTTCGGACATTATTATATTGATAGCCGTTTGTTGAGTTATATCCCATACCTCTGTTCTCCATACATCATCGCTCATATATCTGATCAATAGTTTCTTCGGCTTTGTTTCAACATGAGTTAAATAACAACAAAAAAGTTTATTCGCAAAACCACCCCTAATTTATTTGCAATTATAAAATGAACCAGTATAGTTTATAGTTTATATGAGACTTACGTCGTGGGTTTGATGACCAGTTGGTCGGCACTAACATCACTCCAATGGCCGCCTAAATGTGTTTTACATAATTCATACACTTTTAGTCGATCCTCAACCGATACATTGCTATCCATTGAATTGAATTTTAAAATAAACTTTTCCGGTTTTTATTGTTTTAACTAAGATTATAAACTAGTAGTATTATATGTTTTATTTACAGTAAATAATTAAATTAATATTAATTTATAAAAGACAACACATTTCTCTTATTATATACCTTTTGATCTTTATTATCAATATTATGACAATACTATATATAATTGATAATAAAGTATGACGAGTACTTTAAAAAATAGTGATTAATTTGTATGATAGTAAATATACGGTACAAACATTACTTGTGGTTCATGTAAACCAATTGCACTAAACCACATCACCTTATTATCAATCAAGCTAATGTGTTTTATTATGAAAGTACAGATTTATTAGATTTATAATTATAATCAACTCATATTACATGAAACATGTACTGCAAAAAGCTTAATAAATTAAACACAAATTACTGTGAACACATGCACACATTATAGTTTAATGATTAAACTGTATAACTAAAAGTTTGAATACGTTAAATTAACGCTAAAATAACGTTTAAATACGTTAAGTGTTTATCATGAAACAAAATCATTTTTAAATAGTTTATTCATTGAATCATATAATTAATTCTGAAATACTTAAGAAAAGGTAATTTGTATAGCTTTGTTAATGTTTGTAATAATTTTTATTTGCCTATAGTTCAGCTCAAACCTACAGTTTGTTAATGTTTTAGATTTTTGATCTGTATTTTGGGAGGAATTTCAATCTGAATTTGGTTTCATTTGATATGTGTTTTTAAATAACTTATTATTATATCAGATAAATTGATGCAAAGTATTAGAAATCATTGAAAAATATTTATTATATTCAATAACCTTTTTATAGATCATAATCAATAAGTAATTAATTTATAATTACAATAATATTATTTTGCTATTTAATTACTATAGACCATAACATTATTTAATTATCTATTCACATGTACTAATTTCAAATGTCAAATTACAAAAACTACTTTATATTAATTAATGTAAACTTTATTTATCTAAATTCTAACATAAACGTATCAAGTTATTTTAATCAAATAAAAATGTCAGATTTTTATCTATTTTACACAATTTATATAATTTACGGTTTTAATTTGATAACTAAATCAACTAAACGTATCACAAAATTGTTTGTTATAGTTATAAAAATCATACAAATATTAGTTCGCATCTATTTTCTATATAGATCAATTGTTTTAATAATTGATTTACCAGGTTTCAAATATATCCTATTCAGAATCTCCTCAGTGAACAAGCTATTGATATATTTAACAGGCTATATTTATTTTCAATTTAAAATTTCGAAAATATCCAAGCTTATTAACAATATTCACGACAACCTTGATACTAATATGAAAAACAAACTAACAATTTTCAGCAAACGATTAACTATTATTTGGTTCATTATAATCGCAATAAATATATCTATTGCTTGCTTTGCGTTTAAAAGCACTTATACTAGTATCCTATAAAGTTATTGTACCTGTTATCAATAAAGACCAACCTAGGACCAGTACGGAAACAGTAATGAGGTATGGATAATACGATATGTAGACTACCTTTCATTAGAGAACCTCTCGTGGTGTTTATTTAGTTATAAACAATTATTACAACATATCCTGAATATACAGCTAATGAGAGATTCTGTGAACTCATGTTTAATACCTATTATGCTATACATCTGATGGAAAGTAATCTCTTGGAGAGCACCACAAATAAATCAATTAAACAATTATTACAACATATCCTGAATATACAGCTAATGAGAGATTCTGTGAACTCATGTTTGGGTTTATTTCCATTCCTATTATTCTGTGAACTGTTCTCAACGACTTGTATCCGATTAACGCATATAGTCATCGATAATAACATTAATCGTATGAATAAAGGCGAAATCATTGGCAGTATTATCTATTTGCAGATTTTTGTGCTGGATATCATATTCTTGATTTTAGTCGACTATTATCAACGCCAGAGACCATCGACCGACGAGATATTTTACAGAATAAGTCAATCAAATACATCGCTATCTGTGCGAGAATTGTATGCTAAGAATATTCTGATACAACATTTAGTCTATGGCTATAATCATAGCAAATTCATGGGCTGGAATGTGTTTACTATAAATAAAAAGTTTTTGTTTGTATTTCTAGGATCTGTCACTACATTCACTGTAATGTTAATACAATTAATGCAAAAGTGTTAGACTGACAGTTAATGAATTGATTGCAAAATTAAGTCAAACTTATATAATGAATGCTAAGTATATTTATGTCAAACAATTGGTTTATGTTTATTCAAACAATAAATATACGGCTATGAACTTGTTTACAATTTTATTCACTTTTATCGGCAATGTTATTGTGTTTAAAATAATGTTAATTCAATTAATTCAGCCTTAATACTTAATTACTAAATTATTAAATATTTTATGCATATGTATTAATGTTTTTGTCATATACAGTATTTCAATAATTAATAATTATAAATGGTCTAAAAATTCATTTCTAATATAATTATGAAGCAATTAATCAAAATACATACATAGAGTTGTCTAAAAACTATTATATATTAAATAAATTGTTGTTTTATTTAATTTTTATCAAAATAATTGTTATTGTTTTACTATAAAACCTTTTAAATTACATATATATGTATAATTTTGCAATATACAGTAACAATTAATCATTAATGACAAACAAAATAATTAATATACATTTTGTTATTGAACATTGAAATAACTTTTATCACCTGCTTATTTAATAAATTAATGTTGTATAAAAACAAGCATTTAATCAATAAGTATGTACTATTTAACTTCAATACATAATGTATTATAATTGTTAATTTTAACTCTCAAAATGTCAGTTCATTATTACTTATCATTACTTATATTAATATTTACGTTTTCCTTGTTTAATTCAAATAATAAAAATTATTTAAAACATATTTTAAATATACTTAAAATTATTTACATATTATGGCAACTATTGACAATTCAATTTTTGTTACGTTCAATACTTAATAAATATAATTTTTACTCAACCTTGTTTATAACGTCAATAATCACTAAATGTATTGCTATTATAATAATTTACGTGTGTTTTTGGTGTAAGATAAATAGCATTAAAACTATTCTCAACCAAATTGAATCAAAACTATACAATTTTCAAAAAATTAAATGTAACAGAGTATGCCTACTATTATCACTCATCTGGATCATATTTGTGATAATCAATGGGTCATTAGTTTTATATTCAATGAAAGGTTATTTTAGTATCATACGAAACTTACTATGGACATTTGTCTCATTTGGATGGCTAATAGTCATTCCCCTGTTATTAACACATATAAAATACTGTATTCATGTGCTGGAAATGGATGCCATAAATGACAAGAATATTCTTATGGCCACAGAATACCACAAGAATCCTATCATTCAAGTCATTCAACTCAAAGAATCTGTGAATTCATGTTTGGGTTTATTTTCGTTTCTCATATTCTGTGAGTTATTCTTGAATACATGTTTACGGATAACATATATGGTATTAAATGGAAAGGGATTTCGCAGGGCATCCCTTTTGGGTTATATTGAATACATGCAACTAGTTTTCATAAACCTTTTATATGTGCTTTCAGTTGACTATTTCCAGAGCCATAGGCCGACAGTTAATGAATTGTTTGCGAAATTAAGTCACACTTATAGCCATTTGTCTAAAATAAACGATAATTATATTTTTGTCAAACAATTGGTTTATGTTTATTCTCGCAGTAAATATACGGCTATTAACTTGTTTACAATAAATAAGAAGTTTTTATTCACTTTTATCAGTAATGTAATTGTGTTCACAGTTATGTTAATTCAATTACTTCAACCGTAAAATAAAATACTGTTTTTAATAAATAAATTGCTATTTGTGTTTATTGTTTAATATAATTAATATCAAATAAATTCAATTACTTTGTATTTATCATTTATAATGACAATTGTATTGTGAAATTTCTGACCTAAATATAAAATCCAAATGTACTCATTTGAAACTGTATGTCGTCTGTACTAATACCCTAATTATCGTTAGATAGTACGCGCATTATCTGATAAAAAAAAGTGAATATTTGGCTTGAAATTAGGGTTCGCATTATACGCCAGTATCGTATTATCTGATATTTAATTCATGAAAATTTTATGAAAGCATTGCTTCATATATTGTATAAATGTTGCAAATACAGGGATGACATTAAATGACTCCCCTACTTTGAATTAAAATAATTTTAATACCATGTAGTTTATTTAAATATATTTATTAGCAAATTGTAGGCGAATAACAAACTGTCACTCATTAAGAATATTCTGCACAGAATTGATGACAACTTAACGGAAAAATTCAGAAATAAATCCCGAATTTTAAGCTTAATTTTATCACTCATTTGGACAGTCGTTATAATCGTAAATATAATGATTTCCATACAAACCTATAAATTTACATATTTTACGATTCACTCGATATTTAATAAAATTATTACTTTTGGATGGTTTATATCGGTGCCACTATTTCTCATACATGTTTGCTATGGTATACGTCTCAGGGAACGGTATGTGTTTGAAACCTTCACATCTATGGACAGCCTACTGGTTGACATCATAGATATCATTAGCATTAAGGATAAGGTCAATGAAATTCTGGGTTTATTTCCATTCCTATTATTTAGTCAACTATTCTCATCGACTTGCATACGATT